GCAGCTTACTTGCATCGTGAGACGACATATTTTTGTTCTCATTATTTCAATAACTTCATGTTGTCACCACGACAACCTAGAAATGAAATATATTTCCAAAGTCAAACACAATTGTCAGTGTTATCAGTATTCCGACAAGTTGGTCGTCCATCTGGGCGGGAGTTGACTCATTGGTTAACTGATGCTGAATTCAAGTCAGCTCATGTTCATGTATTAATCAATTGTCAAGAAGTTAAACCGTACCTTGAGTACATTCAAAACACATATCTTTTCAATTTCATTATTAAATTCTTTGTCACATTCTTAAAGTAACCTTTTAGCATTTTCTATTTGGACAACTCATTCTTGCAATCAGAGCAAATAAGTGAATTAGAAGCATCTGCTAGGATTCATGCAGAATTTCCTACATGGTTTAGGCAACAAGTATGTATGTTACCATTCTCTTTTCAATATGGTATATAGGTATTAATGTAATATTTGGTTCATTTTATATTTGTAGATCCATAATGATCCATTTAGTGTGAAGAATCAAGACCTAAGGGATTTATCCAATCACCCTATGCGATACTTTAAAGAATGACACACATATTTTGTGAATGGATACAAATTTCATACAAATGCATGGAGCAAGGGAAAAAAGACAATAAACAGCGGTGTTTATGTTAAGGGTTTGACAGAAAGTGGTGACAATGATTTTTATGGAGTAATTATGAAAATATATGAGTTGGAGTACAATGCCTCCTCTCCAGTCGTGGCAGCCACTCCTTCTCCATCTTCATTCCCTGTTATGGCGTCAGCACCTTCCTCCTCTCCAGTTGTGGCACCCACTCCTTTTCCATCTCCATCCCCTATTGTGGGCTCAGGACCTTCCTCCTCTCAAGGTCACTCACCTACTGTAGATGTTGATTCAGAGGTTGAAGAAGATGTTCCTGCTATACATGATCGACCGATGATTGAACCTTATGGTCGAGGGTAATATTTAATTTAAATTCTCCAATTTATTTATTATAACTAAGTTTTAGTCATTTTCAGCACATATGTAACTTGTATTAATTTTTCTTTGTAATTAGGTTTCTTCCATCCAGAGTTGCATCACAAGCTATAACAAAGAGTATTAAACAACAATTTCTTCAACCTTGGGCCACATGGGGAGTGATACCTAATAGTGATAAGGAGTCATTTTTTCAACGTTTTAAGGTAATTTAATCTTATGTACATACTTAATTATTAGAAGGATGTTTAATGTTACTATTGATTTCCATTAATGTATATATCTATAATTATTGAATATATGTTTTGTAGTCATTTTTCTATAATGTGTATAACAATTTATACTTTTATAGATGAAGGTTCAGTGGAGACCACAACATGAACATCAAATAAAGAAGAATTTTCATTCCAAAGCATCTCACAAACTTAGTGAGATGTTTAGGGATGCAAGAATTGCTGGTCAAAGACCAGACTGGATTGGAGATCACATTTGGAGCAGTTTGCTAGCACATTGGAACTCACTAATGTATCAGTCCAAATCTGCACAAGCCCAAAAAAATAGGGCATCTGAAAAGGGTGGGAGCCTTCACACAGGTGGCTCTATCAGCTCACATGAGCATGCCATACGTATGGTAAGTCTTTATATCATACATTTATGATTTTAAAAAATTTATTGGGTTTTATATCTCAAATTGTTTATGTAATGTAGGCAAAGGAACTTGGAAGATCAATTTTTATTGATGAGATCTTCCAACAGACTCATATTAGGAGGAAGACGGGTCAATTTGTTGATGAAAGATCTAGGAAGACACACGTGAGAATCTTCATGTTAAACTTTGTATATTATGTAAAGTTAATAATCATGTTAATAATTGATTTGTTTCTACTAATAGGAGGAATTTGAAACTAGACTTTCACAAGCTAGGTCATCTGCTGGATCTTGTGTTGGCGAACCTGAGTCCACTCCTGCTGATACTGCACATGATGAAGTTATAAGGTCCCGTTATTGGGTGGACACAGTTGGAGGTAAGAATAAAGGAAAATTGTATGGAGCTGGACAACTTGCTGATGGCTATCAGGGTGGTTCAGATAGCTTGAAGCATCAAACTCAAGCATCCAGCTCCTCAGTTGACTTAGAAGAGATTAATAAATTGAGACAATGATTGTCTGTACAAGAAGAAGAAATACGTCGAACAAGGGAGCAGAATGAATGACTAGAGCACCAATTCAAAGAGTTTCAATCCCTTGTCGGTCATCTTCTACCCCCAGTGCACAATCTCTTGTTCAACAGCGTCAACATAGTGAAGCAGATGATGAACAACAACCCCAACAAGAACAATTGAATGAAGAGCAACAAGATAACCCACCACAGGACGACAACATACCAGAACATTATTCTCATTATTAAATGTTATACAAACATCTATAGAATACTATTTCAATTCTACTTGTATGTTGATACTCTTTTTAGGATTATACATTATGTTTCATTATGCATAAATTACAGTACATTTGAATTTACTTATGATTAAGGTGAGTTAGATTTATGTTTAATTGAATTGTTGAATATATTATTGAATTGAATCTTATTTTACAGGTTATATGGGATGAAAAAAAAAAATAAACTGCTCTAGAACTAGAGGTGGTTTTATCGACGGATAATCCGTCGGTAAGATTTGTGCATAATTGGTAATTACCGACGGAAATATCCGTCGGTAATTATCTATGACATTTATCGATAGAATAATAAAATTCGTCGGTAATACCGACGGAAATATCCGTCGATAAATTACCCACGGAAAAATCCGTCGGTAATTACTCATGATATTTACCGACGGACTAGCAAAATCCGTCGATAAATTTTACCGACAACACTATTACCGACGGATTTAGGACCGTCGATAATCCGTCGGTAATATATATTTACCGATGGAATTTGTTACTTACCGACGGATTTTGTTCGTCGGAAATTTTGATTTTTCTTGTAGTGTTTAGAAAGAAAAAAAAAACATTGTAGCATTTTATGTACTCTTCATATGTTTCCCATTAAAAACAAAAACAAATCTATTGTATGTGTTGAAATTAGAGAATGTAAGATTAAAATAATAAAATTTTAGATTACATATTTTTAAGTAGATTTTAATAACCTTTTGAGAATTTCAACTAAATTTTTAACTATGTGTTCTACAAATGAATTTAAATTATATAATTTTTTTACATATATTTTTGAAAATACATCTAAATAAATAAAATTAAAATGTATTAATATAAATTATTATTAATTAATGTACTTTAGTATTTATTTTGCACTCTTATATTTTGATTTAAAAATATAATTTTAATATGTACATACATGAATCGTATTTTTAAATAATTATTTTTTATTACATGATATATTTAAAATATAGAAATTGTGGTGAAAATTTATAATTTATTGAATATACAATTAATTATTAAATTTAATTAATATTGTATCTAATATATGCAATAACTAATATTATTTACATAAAGTGTTTATATATAAATTAATAATTATATACTACAATAATATATGGGTAATGTATTTTATTATTTGAAGTATTTAATTATTTAATAAATATAAATAATTTTGATTAAATCTAATTGCTAAATGAAATATAAATTTATATATATATATTAGTAAAATTTAATGTTATTATTAAAGTATTTATTAATATTTAATGTTCAGCTTTTACTTTCATCTTTCAAAGATAAGTGCCATAAATATTAGTATATAAATATATGTATTAATATTTAAATATTTCATCTTAATTCAATGATACTTTTCATATAAAGAAATGATGAAAACCTGTACACTTTGTTTTTTAATTAAAGTAGTTATTAATTTTTTACTAATTTACTGCATATTAATAAATACAACATTTATATATTAAATAGAAATACCTAACTAATAATATTTATATAATAAAAATCAGTAACATAAAACATTTTATTTTTTTACTGAATATAGGTAAGTCAGCTAAATTTGATCAGATGGGATGGTTATTATAAATTTTCGGTTTCCATCAATGATTATGATGCATTATTTTTTTATTTTTATGTATTTATTATAAAGGACATTAAAAAAAATTAAATTTCACTTTTTTCCCAATAATTTCTATAGCTTTTCTAAAAAGAGAAAAGAGTAGTAACAACTGACAATAATTCATTAGAATAAGTATATCATATTATCACTTTCCAAAGGTATATTATATCATCACTTTCCTTTAGTATTTAATTCTACCTTTAAAAAGTTATAATTATATTCTCTTACTACTAATGAGTTTAACTTCTGTATACAAAAATTGTATGTAAATACAACAATGTTTAGTAATTTGTATACACAGAACATTTGTATGCTTTCTGTTATGTTTTTTGTTGGTTTTTTAATTTATTTATTTTTCATTTCATCGTCATCATTGGGTGTTCTACTCTGATCATTGCAGCAATAGTGTTTTCATATCCAACATCTTTTGTGTGTTGTAGATATTTTCAAAACCAAAACATCCTAAATGAAAGGAGGGTTAAGCACTTTTGTTTTTGGAGAAACTAAAAAGATGTTAAAAGGGAAAAATAGGTAAGCCCATAGGAGGAGTAAGTAGTACCCCACAAAATGATTGACAGATAATGCAACCTTTTTCTCAGCCCATTCCATACCTTATCTAGCCCACACCCACATACACGCTCCTACGCACGCAACTGTGGAACACAAAAGCGTGTCTTTTGCATAAATCCAAACAAGTTAATTACTAATTTACTTGCCATTTCCCAATTCACCATCATCCATCGTTGACCATTTGAGATTTGACCCTCCAAGTGCTTGCAACAAAGGAAGGAACGAAAGGAAGGAAGAAAGAAGTGGCATCACCATAACAAACAACCTATCCACTACGCTTCCCTTTGAGAACGAACGTGTCTCGTGCTGCTTCATATTCATAATATTTATACCGTTCATTCGTCCTAGTTTTCCTATGATGATAACAACAAAAACAATGAAGCAGTGACGCTTCTTCTTCTTCATCTTCTTATGCCCTCTCTCTCACACCCACCAAACCCGTCTCAATTTCCACACTCCTTTTTTCCCTTTCTCTATACATTTTTATTATAATTGTTGCGCAAATTACAATTGGGCTATTTCCCTGAAGAAAAAAAAAAGCCCTAGAAATTTTGCTGCTTTGGATCCATCCTGGGGCACCCCCGGATCTCCAATCCTCTGGAACATTTCGAAGTTCTCAGCTTTTTCATTTTTGGCTTACCGGGGGGTTGATACATACGTGGTTTGTGATCTGGGTTTGATTCAATTTGGGGTTTCTAGGGTTGTTATTGAAATGGTCTATTTCCATAGCTCGATCTCTCTTTGTAACTCCTCCGTTGACCAACCCATGGCGAATTCCCTCGATTTCGCGAAATCGAGGCACCGGAAAACCCCCAATTCCCCTCAGTATCCTCCGTGCCGGCGATCCCGGTCAGCGGTGGTTGACGTCGTGATTTTCGTGGCGGTCGTAGCCGCTTTTGGGTTCTTGCTGTTCCCCTATGCCCAAATTGTGGCGAGTGAGAGTGTCAAAATTGGTGCTGTGATTGTGGATTTGGTCAAAGAGGAGGTTTCTGTTGCCCCTTGGGTTTACATGTTCATTGGTGTTAGTGTTACGTTTGCTGCATTGACTACTTGGGTTCTTGTGGCTTGCACCACAAGGAAGTGTGGGAACCCCAATTGCAAGGGTCTGAGGAAGGCTGCAGAGTTTGACATTCAGTTGGAGACTGAGGATTGTGTGAAGAATTCACCTTCATTGACTAAGGATGGTGGAGTTAAGAAGGGGTTGTTTAAGCTTCCTTGTGATCACCACCGAGAACTCGAGGCCGAGCTCAAGAAGATGGCACCTCCCAATGGAAGGGCTGTCCTTATTCTCAGAGCAAGGTGTGGCTGTTCTGTTGGTAGGTTGGAGGTTCCTGGACCGAAGAAGAATCGAAAGATCAAGAAGTAGGATACAGAAAAGGGAAAACAAAAAGTCTAATAGGAAGAGAGGATAATTGGATACAGTATGTAAGTCCTAAATGGGCAAAGGAGTTGGTTATAGTTATCTGGTCATTTTCTATTTAGAATTAGGTTGTCTTTTGAATAAGCCCCTCCACCTTGGCAATAAGTTGTAAGGAACTATGGATCATACACAATTTGGTTATTTATACCCGGAAATATAAAAATCCTTTAATTTGAATTGTTTTACTTAACTGTTCTTGTAAATATTGTGTCTCTGAATTTTTATTATTGTTTCTGATGTTTTAAGTTTTTTCAGTTGTTACGATAAGTGAATGTGTAGGATTATGATTTCAATCTTTTTTGTGCAGGTTATGATGGAGTAAGTGGTTGTTCTGTTCTTATGAATGCACAGTTGAATTGAACCTTGTTGAGATCCAATTTTAGAGTTGTTTTGAAGCTTAACTGTTTCACTGAAATTTAATATTTTCTCTCGTGCTTGATTCTTCAGTGCATTTGTGTGCACGCAGAATGTTGGTTCTCCTTGCAGTGATTTCCTGTGATTTTAACCTGGAATCTGCTCTACTACCACAAATCTTTCATACAGTTATGTGTAAGCATTGGTTTTCTATTTGCAATATTTTGGAAAATTGAATTCTCTCATCATGTAGGGAACGGTGAAGATACGACTTTGAGGATTATTGTAATTCCCTTTGTTGTTGTCTCATTTTTTAAGTTGGCCTGTTCTCAGCTTCATATTACACTTGTTGTTACTTCATATCATGAAGACTGTTACTTATATAGTTATATACAGCAAAGCAAATTTGAACCCTGAAATGTGATCTTCATCCTTTTATTTTTTGTCCCTCTGTCTAGCTTTTAAATAAACTTTAACTATTTTGAAGTCCCTCTATTATGCGATCAATCTAGTTTTTGTTTCTGTACAATAAAAATCAAGAGTTTGGTCCTCGATTTCAGAAAATCGGTGGAATTAGTCTCTCACCATAACTATACTGTCTTGATTTCATCACAAGTGAACTACATTTGACATGGTTTCAGGAACTAATTCCACGAAAAATTCGAAATGCGAGTTTCAAATTCATCAATATTATTAGGGAAAGGGGATAGTCCATAAGATCTAGTTGTCTAATGGTTCTGAATCTGACTAATTTCTTCTATTGAAATTGCACGAGTGATTCTCTTTTGTAGTTGATGGATAATTAGATGGATATTATGTTGAAATGTGGCTAGCATTACACTGACTTTCATTTGCAGTATCCCTAAATTCATATTGCATTAGTCATCTCTTCTGTCGTTGATGGTATAACAAATTGATTCGTACAGCTTGTGTGCTTGTTAATTTATAATTCACCCAGTTATATAAGTCAGTTGGTACATTGTTCTTTAGTTGTTACTATGATTTTTAGGAAGATTAGAGGTCAAAGTGGGAACATGACAGTAACTTTGTATTTTTGCTCCCTTCAATTTGTGAAAAGTTTTTTTTTTCCTTTTACTGTCGGTGCAAAGTATTATTTATAACGTTACGTATATCTGGACATTAGCAAAAGAGGGAGAGATGTGTTAAATATAAGAGGCAAAATGTAAATTTTATCTTACAAAATTTGAGGTAAACATATTTTCCATTTCTAATATTATCATCGAACAAATTTTTCATAATAAGATATTTTCAGTCAAATTATTATAAAAAAAATAAAATTTATTCATAATTACACTTTTCTTTTATCATTTTTAAGAAATTTTATCCACAATTCTTTTATCCAAAATATAGTCTTGTTGGATGGATTTGAACATTGTTATGAACATTGTTATCCACTTCATCACGAATGTTGAAAGCAATTTAATCAACTTCTCTAAAATAGTAGTTAAAATATTTGTTTAGAGGATAATTTCTATAAAACTATTATAAAAATATAAAATATTTTAAACTTAATTATATCTTTTTATCCACTTTTTAAGGATTTGTAACCTTAACTCTTGTACACTTAATATGATTTTGTTGAGTTGGATTTTCAATATTATTCACCATCTCTTCAACATCATTCCTATCATTTGGTTAGATTGGACTTCAACATTGCTCTTCACCTCTTCAATTCAATTAATGCGGATCTTAAAAACAATTGGATCAACTAATATAATATAAAATGGTGATTAAAATGTTGATTTAGTGATATTTCAAATTCTAAAAAAAACTAATATAATAATTTAGATTTATTAGATATATGATTGAAAAACAAAATTAAAAAATTTGAGCGGCCAGACAAAATCAAAGATAAAAATTATAAGTTGAAAATTTAATAAAAATTTTATAATGATTCCAAAAACTAATATTTATACCCATGTATTGAGATAGATATGAAAATTAGACCCATTTCTATAAGAATTGATATGTTCTAGTCCTTTGATGAGGAAAAAAAATCAAGTTTATTGGTGGTAGAGACGAATTTAGATTTTTTCTTTTTAAAAATTTTGAAAGGGACGAGTAATGTAATCTCGTCTGACTTTATAATTAAATTTAAATCATAAATTTTAATTTTTGAATTTTTTTTCTTTTTCACATTATATATACAATCATTTTTTTATATTTTACAATTTTAACATTTCTTTTATCCACTTTTCAATTTCTTAAATCAATAAGTTTATTATATTATTTTTTTCTTCTATATTTTATTTCTTCACATTTTCTAATCTCTTTAATTAATTTGATTTTTTCAATGTTTTTAACAAATTTAACAAACACAATTTTTTTTATCTTTTTATAAATATTTTACATCAATAATATTATTTTATTTCTAATTTATCTTTATCATGTTTTATTATATTATTTTTTTAATTTTATTATTCTTATTTATTATATAACAAATTTTATCTTAATAAAATAATTATATTTTAAGGATTAAAAAAATTGATAATTAAAATTTTTATTACTTTAAATTAATTAAATCCAAATTAACTTATTAAATATTTTTATATAAATTATATATTTAATATTTATAAATATTTTAAAATGATAAATTAAAAAATAATTAACTTATATATAATTAAATATTTAAATATATTATTATTATTATTATTATAATAATAATAAGTATTCTAATTATATAAATAAAAATATTAAATAACATACATATTTAATATAAATATAACAAATTAAAAGTACATATTTAATTATTAATAATTATAAATTATGAATATTTATTTTTATATAATAATATTAAAATTAATTTATTATAAATATAATTATTTTTTAGAAATAATATAGAAAAAAATAAAAATAATGACTTAATTTCTAAAGAAGTTAAAAAAAATAAAAAATGAGATAAGCAAAACAAAGCCCACCTCTCCTCATGATTCCTACATCGATGACTAAATTCATATTTGTTCATCAAAATAATAATTTATATTTTAAACAATTAAAACTAAATTCAATCTTTAGTCATTTATTTTTAAAAATTATTTCTTTATAAACAATAATATATTTTTTGCAAATCTTTCTGTTAATTTATAAAAAAACATAAAAAAAATTTCAATAACATAAAACACATTTATTTTTTACATGCATTTTGGGTGGTGAAAGAGAGATTGGAGCAAAAATAAAAGCAAGAATTGAAACTCAGTTTGGGTTCGGAATACATAGGATTATTGAGAACAACTCTCCTACCTGTGTGTGTGTCTCTCTCTCCTCTGCTCGCCGCTTGCTCGAAGAGCTTCGGAGGGCCAAATTCATCATGGATGGATCTCGGATCGACATCCTTGAGATTTACCGAAGATACTGTGGTAATCTCAACCATTTCCCTTTTCAATTGCATGCATCTAACACCAATTCCACTCTGGACTATGCACCAAATTTTGTTTTTGTTTCATTTCTCCAAGATTTAGTACTTATGGGTAGCCGAGATTGAGTTTTTTCTTTTCTGGATCTTGTGGTATGGCTTAGTTTGAGCACCGTGGTATTGGTTTAGTTTTCTCTCCCTCCAATGAAAAAGAAAAGAAGTAGAAGAATAATTCTTTAATTCTAGTTTGATTTTAGGGTGTTTATTATGATTTTGATGATATATGTATGTGATTCTTTATTCTTTATTATTATTTATTTGAGTATGATTGTACAGACGTAAAATCAGGACGTGCATACATTGCCGGGGAAGAAGGGTACAGGCAAGACAGTGACCTTCAGAAGGCTAAGTTCTCAAGGGAGGCACTCACACAACTCTCGAAGTTGATGGAGTCTCGAGTTAGTGCAGGGTCTGTGTTTCTGTGAGATTTTCCTGTGATAATTTTGAACCAAAGTTTTTTTTACACAAATCATAGTAGTCAATGTCAACTAATGGTGTGACTGGTCCATCCCAAAACTGCTGCGTGAAATAGCAGTTAGCGAGATTACCACTTTCTCAAATCCTGAATTCTAAACCCAAAACATAGATTTGTAAAATACACATGTATATGCTGAAAAATAAAATAAAAAATATTTGAAGTTAAAGACATTCACAACGACCTTCCGTGGAGCAGCTGGGCTGTGCCATGTAGCTGTTACAGTGCCTCTATACACATGGTTGAAAGCTCTGGCTCTAATATTCCTTGGTTTGCTGCTTTTCCTTTGATTTTAAGTTAATAAATGTGAATGTTGCTGCAGATCCTCTTCCATTTGTCTTGTACTTTATTTAATAGTTTCAATTTCAAGTAGCGCATTTAGTTTTTGGATTTGAAGATAACCGTGGAAGATTTTAGACAAGATATGGAGTAAGACAAGAAGATTATATTTAACTTAGTAATTATTGATTTTAACAACCATGCCAGAATTATGGTGATGAAATGACAAAGGAAATAAGTGTACAAAGAGAAATTGGTCTTTTATGAAGAGGTTTGAAGATGCATTTATGATTAGAAAATAGCAAGTCACATTTTCATCACTCGATTGAGGAATTGAGAAGTACTATTTGGTTATTTAGTTCTATCCCAGGGTAATGGGGGGCAGGGCTACTTGGATTGTACTATAGCACTTATGTTAATAAGAGAAGGCCAAATATTAGAATAAAAATTTTTGTAGTTCAAATAAGGCCAATTTTCCTACAAGGAAACCATAAATACTAAAGGAAAATTCCTGTCTCAATAATGAATGGAAATATGACAGTGAAAATATGTTAGTAATTTAGTTTTTGCAGTTTTGCTTCTATGAAAAAAATGAGTTTTTTGGGATCGTGTGTAAGAAAACTGAGATTCTGAACGAACAATCTCAATGTTAGATTCATACAGCCTAAGAGAATTGCTTTCAAGCTAACTAAACGTTGAAAGTACTCATTCAGTTGTCCAGGTGATGCTGTTCAATATGATAAAATGAGATAAATGTTTAAATAAATACATTTTATGTCACTTTCTCTGATGATCATCATTGTTCTATCCGTAAATCTGCAGGATTTTCTACAATTTGTTGTTTATGGTATATTTGGAAAAATGTAGGCTTCTGGCTTCAGCTTAACTCTGACATATTTTGGATCATGTTTGGATCTTGCGTGCTTTACATTTGCAATCTGCATTGAAGTTATGCTTCTAAATGAACAAATTTGTTTTTCCATTCCCTGGCTAATTGTCATGTCATGTGTATAGAAATTACTTGATTGCACCATGTGTGCATGTTTCTTTTCTAACAAAATTGCTGACATTCCAAATTTTCCAGGGTAACAATTTTTGATGAAATTTCTATGCTCATGTCTCATCTTGGTTTGAGGGTAAGTTTGATTGCTTTGACATTATTCAATTATGGAATTTCAGATATTAAATTTCCTTTTCTCAATTATTAAGGAAGCGTGTTACTACTATCATTTGTAGTAGTTGGATGCACTAAAGTAAGACATCAAATAAACATATTAACATCACTTGCATTGATAAGAAATTTAAATGTAGGAGATTGTGCATTACCTATACTATAAGGAGAGAAGACAGAAAGATATAGCTTGTTTCAAAGGATCCTGCACTCACTTTTATCTTCTTACCTCGTATACATTTTTTATTTCAATATTTGCTTTCTTTGTTTCTCTATCTAGGTGGACTTTGCAGAATTCTCTCGGTTCTATGATTTTGTTTTCTTCATGTGTCGTGAAAATGGTCAAAAGAACATTAGTAAGTGTCCAAGAATAATATTTGTATATAATCTTCTTTATTCTCTATAGTCGTAAGCAGTATGTAATACCCATTGTTTATTTCCTTTAATTGTTAAACTTTGATAATTTACAGCTGTAAGCAGGGCAATAACTGCATGGAAATTAGTTCTTGCTGGGCGGTTTTCACTGCTTCATCCATGGTGTGAATTTGTTGAGGTACAATAATACTTAAGGACTGAGAAACTGTTTGGGGTTTTCCTTTGTCATCAGGGCTGTGTTTAAGAACGAAGCCTTGTAATTTTAACCACATGAATTTCTTATGGGGAATACAGTCTATTAGTGGAAGGATTCGAGTTTCATAGATTACGGGTAGTGTTCTCTAGCTAGGGAAAACCTAGGAAGTGCAAATAAGACGTGGGACATGACCATAATGATGCAACACATTTTAAAAGTTGTAGTATACAACACTTTTACTGAATTGTTGTTTTGAGCCAAAAAGTTGGTTGAATCAGCCATCCCCAAAACCACACATCGACTTGATTTGGCAAGTTGAGTTGGTGCAGGTGCATCACTGCAGTGATGTGGATGTTTAAAGATTAACAACAGTTTTCTTAATATAACAGTAAATAATCAACATAATAGTGAATAGAAGGCGAGCCCTGGGGCAACAGTAAAGTTGTGCTTTGGTCACCCTCTGTGGGTCATGGATTCGAATTTGAAAACAGTCTCTTTGCAAATGCAAGGTAAGACTGTATATAATGACCCTCTCCCATACCTTCAGCACTGGGGTACATTAGTTATTTTTTTATTCATTACAATACATTAAAGTATTGTAACAATACTGTTGTAATACTTTAATTTATTGCAACATATGTTGTCTAGTATAAAAATACTGATATTAATAGTTATCTATCTCAGATAGCATTGCAGAGCGGCCAAGCCTTAAATTGCTACAGTGGGTAGCAGACATTGGGAGCATCACCACCATGAAGTTTCCATATATAAATTAATTTTCTTTTACATATATATAGATGCTAAAAGTGTAAAATAATTACTGATAATAAAGGAAATGGGAAAAAAAATTATATAAGGGCTGCGTAAGGGGATCCAAATCTGAATATAATGGTGAAAGAAAGAATATAAAACAAAACATAGACCCCTCTTTGATGTGAACAGAACAGACTCCAAAGGATGTGAACCTAGTAGAGACCATAGAATGCTGTGCCAAGATTTCAGAGTGTGGGTTGGACCATGAGTTGGCCAGAAATGCAGCTGAGAGCTTCCGGTCAGATGGTTTGTGCCAAAGATAGAAGAGGGAATATAGGGCTTGTGTTCTGATGAAATAAAAGTGGAAAAAAATCCCAATATTGGCCCCCCTCCCAAAACAGCACCAAACAACAGTATTTGAAGGGTCCAAAAACGAAAGGCATTACATGTCTAATGCAATAGTGGTCATGTTGAATGCAAATAGCAGCTCAAATTCATGGTTGGGTTGCACTGAGTAGCCTGTAGCTGGACACTTACTATAGCATGCAATTGATGACTCTGCTGGAAGCTGATGACTTATCTTGATTTTCCATTTAAACTAAAATGGGGATGTAAATGGATATTCGAAGTCTACCAAAGAATGAAAATCGGAGAACAGAGTGGCCACACAGAGGAAAGGCAAAACAGCGAGGAAAATATGAATGGACTCGAGCGTATGAAAACAATAAGGATAAAACGGACCAATTTTATGATATAGGATATTATTGTAGACATGTGAAATCAGGCTTGGGCCCATGTGCCATCACCTTGCTGTGGGATTAGGGCTGCATAGTATTATTTACCTATTTGAATCTCAATGTATAAGCTCAATCCATTTACTAGACCTGGTTCCATGGGCCAATCCATTTGTACAACCTTGTAGTACTGTGTTATTTTACTTTTCTTTTGTTGGAAGCTGATCTATTACTTTCTATTCAGAAGAATCAACGATACAATATCTCTGAGGATACCTGGCAACAGGTTCTAGCTTTCAGCTGGTGTACTCGTGATAATCTGGAAGCATACGATCCTGAAGGTACTGTTTCTTGTATACTTTCCACAATTAGATCCAGATATTAGTACTTGTATACCTCTGTCCATGTCATTAATTAAGTCTTATTTGATGCATTAATGTTGCATGGTGTTTTAACATATCTGCATGTAATTAGGCATTCTCGTGATAAGTAGTGAGATCAGTAAAAAATATTTTGGTATCCTTTACTTAATAGAAGTGGAAGAGTTTTGGGTGGGTGGGGTGTTTGGCCTAACTGAGGCAATTTTTAATTTTTTTTTTTTTTGTGGCTTGCAGGTGCTTGGCCTGTTTTAATAGATGATTTTGTCGAGCATATGTACAGGTTTGGTTTCTTTCTGGCCAAATAAAGTATCTTAATTTTGTTACAAGAAGTTTTGATGATAAATGATCACTGTTAGGTTTACGAAATTAGTATTAGTTTGTGATTAAGCTCTAAGGCATAAGATAATTCCTGAGGGTTCTGGTGGATGCCTTTAACCATGGATATTTTGGCGTGTCATACAATTAATAAATAGGGTTGGGTCAGTTTAATGAAGTTGGCATGTACTTGTTTTAGCTTACCAACCTACTCTTCCTGATTGTAAAATTCAATCACTTCTAAATTAAAAGAATGGACCTGGCAAGGATTTAAACATGTTCTGGATCTAACACCTAAATTCTTATGCCTTAGGTGTATGCTTATAACTTGTTTATTATACTTGAACTACGCAGGAATACAAAAAGTAATTTTATTGATAACAGTCACTTCAGTTATATTCTTAGATCCTCTTATTTGTAACAATCAATCTCTCTAAAATAAGGAAACAAAATATGTTGAAATAAATAAGAAGATTCAGAAGCTATTATCCTGAAGACATTATTATCCTATATAAACCTGTATTAGCAATACTTCCATTCAAGTTTGAATGGCCGAATTTTCCCGTATCCAAAGTTGACTTTGGATACTGTTAGATCTTTTTAGTCATTGCAATTTTCACAGATCTAGTTCAGTGAAAGATATCCCATATTTAGAAAGGATAATCATTAGTTATAAGATTCTGTAGATGCTGTCGCATTGAGAATGCAGTACATACAACCTGGCTTTGAACTCTAGTTCTATTGCAATGACAGAATCTACCCTAAATCCTAAACCTTTGGAAGAAGCAAATTTAAGGCTATGTGATTAATTTTATACACATTGGATTTTATTTTATCAACATCTCTGAACTTCATTTAGTTTATTCTCCTGCAGGATGCAAGGATCATACTATGATGATTCCAACTTCCATTGCAAGTGTGGTGATCCAGAATCCCAGTCATGTGTTCTGGAGGATCCCCATCCTGGTCAGTTCCCTGATATAGGAATTCTAGTCTTGGACTTTTTTTATTCTCTTCTCTGTGTTAGAACTGCTATCTAAAATAACTGTACACTACTTAGCAATCAATTTTTCATCCAAATTCTATTAAGTTTTGAAATTGTTTCCAAAATAACTGTTTAAAAACCTAAAAATAAGGGATGTTTTCTCATCCTTTCTGTTTTCATTAAGTTTCCTGTTCAAGTACTCAAGGGACAAACTTTTGTAAAACAGATATGTGTTCAAGATACAAACAAATTTTAGTAAACAGAAAATTATTTGTTAAAACAGTAAACAAACAATTCTTTATTGTTATATAAATCTGTTGCCTGACACTATGGTTTCAATACAGGGCTGAGTAGTTCTTCTGGTGTGAAGAGGAAGTTATCCGAGGACTTGAGCAAAAATGATTATATGGATGCCAACGATATACCTTTTTCAAATTTTAAAAAAAGTAGAGCTAAGGATGCAGCAGATTTGGAGGACAATCCACCAGGGAATACAGCAGAGGATTGTATGGAAACTAGTACGCAAAATAGCCCATTGTGTTCATCTATGTCTCCATGTGCAGTTGAAGGGGCTCTGTCTAAGGGATTTGCCGGATTACTCTCAACCCGTCCCGTTGTGCAGTTTAGTAGGGATAGAAGGGCTTCCTTTTGATGAAGGACCCTCCTGATAGATAAAGAGGTATACAGAAGTTTCTTTTGCTAGTTAATATCTGTTGATGTATTCATTTTGAATAGGCTACTTTACATGATTCTAGTTTCCATTATTTGTAACATTGTAATTTGTAACATCATCCTGGTGAGTGTTAAATAACTATCCATTACCTTTGATCGAATCAATAAAACTGTTATTTTTTGTTTCTGTGATCTTTCTTGCTTTCTTTCTATATGATTCAAGTCTTTCTGTAATTAATTGATGTCAAAAGTCATTTATATGTGATTCTCGTAGTATGATTAACTGCTGTCTCACCTGCAATGCATTGCAATGTAAGAGGCACTAACAATTAGTGCTCGATCATTTGAAAGGGGTATTGAACTCAGTATACAGCTATTGGACTTTAATTCAAGGGATTATCCAGGTGAAGTGCTAACTGTTTTTATTATTTGACTTATATAAATTTTTATTGTCTGATGATATTACAGTTGCTTAAACCCTATTTAGCTTGATTTGAAATAGAATTTGTCTTTTTAAGGTTAAAGCAACGTTTTTACAATAAAATACCAAGAGGGGTCCTGTTGCATTGATTAAGAAAGTGAGTTGTAAATTCTGTATATATAAAAAAATCACAATTTTATTGTTTTTTGTTTACCAGTACTTAAATTAATATATTGTTTTTCAATTAATGAAACCGCTCATGAAAATCTTGTCAATTTGATCTGTAGTTTGATATTTGAAATATTGATCTTTCTAGGAATAATGATTAGTAACTCTACTTTAATCTAGGAATTCATGTATATCCTGTTCAGTTCTTTTATTAGAGGTTCTTACCTAAATTTTAACTGCACTTTAAGAATATCTGAGAGTTACTGATAATTATTTATAATATATAAAAATGCAAATTATAGAGTTGATACATCGTTACGGACATTTTATATAAAAATAACATTTTTTCTCCTCTTATCATTATTTTAGGACTGTTTTTGTAATTTTTATTATATAACATAAGGACCTTTATATATATGCCTAAGACCTTCTACGACGACATATTTTGATTGAATTAAAGTTCCAGAATTTTCTCAATTTCTTAACCTCTCTTAGAATTCTTTTTGAATCAACAAATTATTGCTCTGTTTCATAACATGTAATACATCAGATATTATGGAATGATTTTACTTCTACGTATTTATACATTTTAGAAATTTTACAATTATGTCTACACCTAAATTCTCTTAATACTTAATCATTTAAGTCGATATTGATTTGTTACTGCAATATAAAGGTAAGGATTTGTTATTAATATCAAATCTCATTATACAATGATGTTGTGATTGTTATAAAGTCTAAAAGAGCATATTGAATAGTATAATTATTGTGAAGTTATTTAACTTATTATTTTTGGTGAGTCGGTGAGTTCAACCATTTTTTTTTCCACTAATGGTGTAATTCTTAAAAAGAGATTCTATAAATATCTCATATTTTTCTAAGAGTTATTAAAGTCCGGTCTTACAATAATTAAGAACTGTGATATTATACATTTTTAAAACCATATTATTAATATAAAATATCTACTAGTTCTATTGGTAACTAATTTTTGTGTCACCCAAAACTCTTTAACATCTTTTAAATTTTATATGTAAAATTATTTTATAGCTTCCACTCCGTTTAAAAAAAAAAAAAAAATTCAATTAGTGTTTGATCCCCTGTACTTTCAAATACATGTATTTTCCAACACTCTTGTTATAGACTCTGTTAGCGTTTGTTTGTCTTTTGTAGTAAAAAAATCAAACCAGGTTAACCGGAGGTTTAAAAATTTAGATTGTGACTTAAAACTTCGTCCAAGGTTTGATTACTTATTATGTGGCTCAGTTTAACTAACTGAATATCAGGACCCTAAGTAATTGCTAGTTTTTTAATGATTAAAGTGTGAAATATAAGTTGTTACCTCAACAAAACCTTTTGAATTTCTCTCTTTTTGCTACATCAGCAATTTTTAAACATTGACACCATGATTAAGTGTCTTTTCTACTTTCTTTTTCAAAAAGCTATTGTATTTCCTTCCTCCTTTCCACAGTAAAATTTATAATTTACCATTAATATGTTATGACACTTTCCTGAAAGTCTTAAATATGAAGTTTTTAAAAAAGCTTAGATTCTATTCATCGCAATGCTCGAATTATCGTTTTGTAGTTTTAAAAGTACAGTATATGATAATGATCTGAGAAGGTAAAGAAATGAGGAATACGGATACAATTAGTCGTGGGGATATGATACCTAATCATAGAAAATCAGATTTGCATACTGTCAAGTATAATTGAGTTGCTGAACACTTGTAATCCACAACATTACATTTACATAATCCTTACAGCACCAAAATCTGACTTTGCAATCCTCATCGTATAGCCTCTAACTATAACCTGTCGCATTTAAACAGCATAAACAGTTATTTTCCCTAGTACAAGGATTAGTACAATGAATGAGCTCCATATTGAACAGTCTGCTTAGATGGAACAAACGCAGAAAGTTCACCATTGGTATTTGGCAGCAAGAAGCACCTCCTCATACAGCTGAGCAGCATTGTCCCAACTAAGATCTTGAGTCATACCTCTCTTTTGAAGCCCTTCCCAGCTCTTCTTATACTCCCTGTAGGTCAAGAGGCAATTCCCTAATGCATGTGATAACTTACCTGAATCTGCACTTTCAAATGTCCACCCAAGGCCTGACTCATTGAAAGGATCAAAAGGCTGCACTGTGTCTTTCAGTCCACCAACAGCATGAACAACAGGAACTGTTCCATAGTTCATGGCATAAAGTTGGTTCAATCCACATGGCTCAAACCTTGATGGCATGAGTAATATGTCAGAGCCTGCAGTTATCCTGTGAGCCATCTTCACCGAAAAGCCAACCCATCCCCTTATCTTGTCATGGTGTTGGCTTTCAAATTGCCTAAGCATGTGTTCTAGATCAGGCCTTCCAGTGCCTAACATGATTAGTTGTACATCCTGACTCATCAACCAAGGAATTGCTTCAGCTATGAGATCAACTCCTTTCTGTTGATCCAACCTTCCAATGAAGGCAATAACCGGGACATTGTCACGGATAGGCAAACCAAGCTCCTTTTGCAATGCTGCTTTACATTGACCCTTGCCACTAGAAAGTGTCTCAAGGGAGTAGTTTGTGTAGCCATCTGATTTCAAGTGAACATCAAACCGAGGGTTCCAATCTTTGTTGTCAATTCCATTCACAATGCCCCTTAATTTCCAATCATTGTCCTTTATGATCCTATGCAAGCCCCAACCACCTTCAGAAGTTTTGAGCTCCCATGCATAACCGTGACTAACTGTTACAACACGGTCTGCTGTCTTTAAACCAGCTGCAAAGATGTTGAAATGGTCACCTCCAATGGGGTCATATAATTTGAAAAGGTCCATGTGGTGTTCAGGTAAATCCACAAAGAAAAAATCATCAACAGGCCCCCGACCCTGTAAGAAAATTTTGTTTCAATGTTCTTTCTCAATATAGGAAACAATGCAGTTTAGACTAATTATTAAGTAAATTAAATCAGCTTCAATGTTCTTCCTCCCCCTTGAAGTAGTTTCTCATTCAAACGTAAAAAGTTCGAATTTTAGTATAACTGTCTGGTAATTTAGTAACTCAGATGCATCAGTTGACTAAAACATTTTTCTCGATTGCTTAATTTCATTTGCTTTCTCTAAAGAAATATGAGCATATTACGTAGGAATTGACTGAACTTTTTTCACATCATTATCTACAAACGCTTAAAAAGCGACAGTGGCACTAGATTCTTTTATCACTCTGTTTACTTTGATTAACTGATAATCATCAAATATATCATTTCCTATTCCTATCCAAAAAGACTAGTGGACCATATTTATGGCTAAAACGAAAAAAATATATCCAGCAGCTCGTTAATAAACTGCACAAACAATGAATTATCGAAATTAAAATGGTTTTCTAGATAGAGATGGAACCTGGTGAGCTATGTTATGAATCACAAGAACTGATCTTGTATACTTCATCAAACCCTGGTCACGGTAATATGCCTTCAGATACACTGGCAGCAATGCAGTATGCCAATCATTTGCTATGAAGGCCAAATTTCCATCTCCATAGCAAACACCTCCACATGGAACGTGCCATGGAACCTGCAATTGTTAAATTTGTTTTGTCACATCCCCGTATGCAGAAACAAAGATTTGAAATAACTTGACCATTGATAAAAATTATTCATAGCAATCATGTTAGCCACATATGTCCATAATCTGGCGCTTAAATATTTTTTATTTCAGCATAAAAAAATCGCACATGCAATCTGCTAAAATACTCTTCAAATGTTATTATAGCAGAGTTTTCCATTTCTTGATTAAGTCACATTAGAAATCAAATTAGTTTATGTACCTCAACCGCTGCCTTGCAAAACAGCACCATGCGTTTTAGAATATCCTGTTCCATAAAGAACAACATGAGTCAAATAGCTAAGAAATAATACAAACATGATATTACAGCATTTTGATTAGACCTTGCAAATCATTTAGCTAATGGAGGAATGCAATAGCTTACAAAATCAGAAGGCTACTTTTCTTTGCCCTTCTTTTCTCTTTTTAGGGCCTTGAGAAGGTGCTGGATAATCTTATCTTATATGATAAACACTGAAAATACATAACAATGGTCCTCAACTTAAAAAAAACTAGACTATTACCAATCGGCTTCCCCCATATATGTTATGTTCTAGATGATGGAAAAATGGACTGTCAACGAAAACGAAGTCCACACCATCAATGTAGGCATGGAAATATCTTACTTCCTCATCCTGTAAAATGATATTCGGAACGGTTACAGAACCATAAAACTATGAGGAACTTAATAGATCCAAAGAATTTAATTGATCACTAATAAAGTATATGCTTCATACATGACCATCTACTCTGTACGTTTTTCGAACTCCTGTATCTTGGCCTTCCGCATAATTACCATAGCGAGGTGTCACAACCTATGACGCAAAAAGGGAAGAAAGATATGGGAAAATTGATATATTAGTCTGAAGGAACCAAGGAAAAAATTGTGAAGTTCTTGTTGTTCTTCACTTAGCAAGGATGTGATATCTTCCCAAGGATGTGATATTAAATTCATTAAGGAAGTAGCATTTTACCATAACTCTATGTCCACGTCTAGACAAAGCCTTTGGTAAGGAACCAACTACATCTCCAAGCCCACCTATTAAAATTAGCATCGGGATAAGCCTTTTAAATTACATAAAAATGAAAATGACATGCACAAAAGGGCAACAAATGGCTTGCCAAAGAGATGAAGAGAGAGAGCTCAATCGATCTTCTCATGGAAGTACTTAATATCAATGTATGGATATAACAGAAGTCTTCCAGTTTTCTATTAATCTTTGGTCAATTTATTCATGTTTTCAAACAACCCTGCAAAAATTGCAGGTAAGCACTAAATTACGCATAACCAGTTTTAGGTTGTTAGATTAAGGCACAAACTAAGTTGTTGACATTCTTATAAATTTGATTGCTTGGTGTCTCTCTCATATTCTCAATAATACCTAACTTATCCTGTAATAGGACAGATCATCAACATGAATTTAACAAGGAAAACCTTCCACACAGATCAAGTTATTACCTGTTTTTGACCAGGGAGCACATTCTGCTGCAACCAATATGACATTCATGACGTTGGTCCCAGCCAAAGGTGGGGGTATTTCAGTTTCACCTTCACTCTCAACAGGGGCAGATTCACTCACACTTTCCTGATTCTCAACCTCTAGATTCAAATGTTCAGTGCCATTTGCAAATAAGGCTAAGAGAGTATCAGGCCTAATAGTCTCATGTGCCTTGTCTTCCAACTTTTCATTTAAATGTATCCAATAGGAAGCCATTTCAGGTGGGGTTTTAGCATCTCCCCCCTTAGCTTCATTAAAGCTTCCATTAGTGCCTACAAATGGTGCTTTCACAGATCCTTTACTAGAATAGGCAGAGTTTGGTGAAGCAATGTTTTCATTTTGGTTTTTAACTGCATTATCACTTCTGGTGGAAGCATTCTTTGGACTTGATTTATTTGTGAGAGGTTTGTTACCGAGTTCATATGATATACTGTTCACTTCTGATTCAAGAATATTGTCACTCTTTTCTGAAGAAACCAGTTTCTTTATTTCCACAACCTACAAAGAAATGAAACAGACCATGATGAAACAGAATATTTTGTTAATTGATTGATGTTCAGTTCCATTATTTGTAAATAGTAATTAATGGGATAGCTTTAAGAAGGGGGGGGGGGGTTCACAGATAGATAGTACATAATTGTGGTAAAATAAATGGAAAGTTGCTCCAACTGTTGTGAGAAATAAAATATAATGCATGTATACAACATATAAAATTAATCACCATTCTAAAAGTTGTTTTTTAATCAATAGTTACTATTGTATTTTGTTCTCTCAGAGCATACTCCTCTCATCTGATTTTAAGAAAGTCAAATCTAATGATATAAAACAAATTGGAAAAAGTCATTCCATCAAATTTATGGACTTATTTTTTCTAATTTTATTATCTAATAAGTTTGGTTCTAAATTTAAATATACTTCAATAAGATTAATTCAAAAGTATGCGAGTGAGATTTACTTTTTATTTTTCAGCGAGGTGGCGTTAATGAATTCCAAAATGATAAATTTAATACTGTAAATAATTCAAAATATCAGATATCTCATTCAAAAATTAAAATATAATTATTAATGATAGTCACAAACATTAATAATAATATATTGTGTGTATATTTATAAAAAACTAACATAATACATATTTTAAATTAGCAAATTGCTTTACCTATAATAAGATCAATGTCGGTGCCAAATAACTATTTTCAAATGTCTAGAATATAAAAATCTATTCGCGTCTCTACCTTTCTAGACCTACACTTCAAAGTTCTTAGAAAATTGTAGCATGTTTCAACACCAAAATTTCTTCTGATACCATTGTAAAACGAAAAGCATAAATATGCATATGATAACATGACTGTACATTATTAAGGAATATGATAGAGGAGACAAAAATTATTAACCTGTTGAAGTAGATCCTTTTGTAAAGCCAGCACCTTATTTCTCTTTTTATTGATGGCCCCAAACACACCCTCTGATCCATCTTTATCTTCATCTGTCCCTAAACTGTTACCACCTGTTGCCCTTACACGCGTAATCATTCCCAAGTTTTCTGAATGCTCAAACTCAACACCATTTTTCAGTGGAAATCTCAGACAACGATCTCCTCTACTGTGAAGCAGCATCAAAGCTTTAGCACTAATTGATGATGCCATGAGAAACTAAGTACAACAAGAAGTTTAATTGGGTTTCACAAACTTAGCAGAAGATAGTAATGATTTAGCAGTTGAAGGATAACAGGATGTAGAAAGGGATAACCTACATCTGTCAAAAACTGAATGTTTATAAGAACTAACAAGCAATACCAATATTTTATATCTATATATAGTGTAGAAGGAAGAAAATCCCCTAGGTGGATCCCACAGAACGAGAAAGCATGGAAGAGTTTTGAGGTTTCGAATGACAAAGGATCTAGGAGCAGAAATTGGAAGCGAGAGTTTTGGTGTGAGAATTTCATGGCCACAGACTGTTCAAAGATAAAGATGTGTCATTGTGCATGAATTTAAAATGTGGAAATTTTGTGGGACCATTAATGATGGAATCACTTTCATTGTGCATGAATTTAAAATGTGGAAAATTTTGGGACCATTAACTATGGTATTTTTTTGTTTAGGTTGTCATTTTTGTTCTAATATTGTTCTTGATGAAAGTGGAAATTTTATTTGTTTTTTATTAAATCAAACATAAAATATCACATTAGTTGGATCCTTAAAATTTATTTATAAAAAAAGCTACCGTAGAAATTTGGTAAGCTTACAACACCAGATAGGCCATTGATGTACACACGTTTTAAGAAAATTGATTATTTCTACGAGAGGATAAGAATGATAGTTATTAAGGGTTGTAAAATATATAATTTATTAGAATAGTTTTTATAATTTTTATTAGTTTAGTTTTTGTAAAATGTAAATATAATTTTTGTGTTATTTTTTCATTTTTAAAAATTAACTAATATTATAAATGTCAACTATGACTATTTAGTAAATATTTTTTATTACTATAAAATGTTTTATTTATTAAAATGTTTTTTATATTAATTTAGTGATACAAAATTAAAATATAGGATTTTGGTTCAATTTTTATGTTCTGTAAAAGAAAAAAGAAGATAAAGGTAGTAATGAGATCAAAAAAATAAAATGTTACTATTTTTATGTATTATAGTGCTATAAACTTTAAAATATCAATTGGGTAAATCCTTTAAAATATAAATGGATTGTTTTTATGTTTACATAGTTTTATAAATACATGATAAGAAATTATGACTACAACGTAAACTCTTAGATTATATTTTTTTTATATCTTTACAATAAATATTAATTTTTATTAATAAATTATTATTTTTCTATAATAAATAATAATTAATAAAAATTAATTAATATAATTTTCAATACTACAAATATCATATATTTAAAAATAATTTTTTTATCCAACATCATATATTTTATAATAAATAATAAAATAATAATTAAATTTTTGAGATTAAATTAATAAAAAGAATTATAAAACAATTTTTTAAACTATATTATACATTTTTAAACAATTTAAATTTTTTAAACTATATTATAGTTTTATGATAAATTTTGTATTCTTTTTATTTTTGTTATTTTTTATGCTATATAATATTTACCATTCAATTACATAGTAAACACATCTTTTGTGCTGATTTATAAAGTCAAACAAATATTTTCAATCCTTCATATAACAAGATAATGGTGTTAATTTTATTAAATAAATTCATCCTTTTTCTTTTTCTAAATTTGAGGGATTTGATTTAAGAATATAAAGCCCTTTGAAAAATAATATAATTATAAAATACAATTGAAAAATAAAATAGATGATTAACATAATTATTAAAAAGTATATTAAAAGTATTTAATTTTTAAAATTTATTCATCAATACTGGAGGTAAACAAATCTCCTCCATTATGAATCCCTTTGTTTATGAAATAACTTTGATGTTGATATTGAGAGTATTGATGATATTATTTTGAAGAGTTTGATTTTTTGGGTAGGTTCTGGACAATAAATAAATCTAAATGATTAGTGTTGACATATATTTTTACTTTAATTACCAACCATATCAACATATCATTATATATAAAATAATATTTGTTTTCACGAAAAATATATCTTCAAAGATTTTCTTTTAAATTTTTATTGTAATATTATGAAGTTATTTTGACATATAAAAATATTTTTTTATTAATATTTAAAGAGTAATTCAACAAATGATAGAGTATGAAAAATCCCATTTATGTAAATAACTCCAAAAATAATAATAAATACTAAAGTATAAAGTTATTAAATAAGTTAAAATGTAAAATCATTAAAATATTTTAAAATAGTTCAATAATTTGTAATAAAAATGAATATATATATATATATATATATATATATATATATATATAAAGTGAGAAATAATTAAAAATATTTTAAAATTTTGTATGACTTGTTAGAATTTTAAAATAAAATATTATTATATACAAATATATATCACTTAATTTAATAAATAATTATTTAAATAGTAAAATTTATTTACTTTCAACACAAAAATGTGAGTTGAATACTGCACTATAATCACCAAGTCATTCATTATCAAATTTACATGAATAATTGGAATAAAAACTACATCGATTATAATCTATATTATGCAATATTGATAAATTTAATTAGTTTATTTATTTAGAAATAATTAGAAGTGAAGAATATTGATAAATTTATGATTAAAAAGTTATTTCTCATCTCAAATACTTGAGAAAAATAATATGCTCAAATACTTATGGATATGCTATCTGTATCTTTTTTTATATATATAATATTAAATATACAACTACATTTATTTGATTTTTTTCTTTATAATCACTTAGTATTTGATTGTTTTATAGGCAATAATTCGGATGCTTAAAATGATACCTTATAAACTATTATCTAAATACTTGTGTAAATCTTATTTCTTACTATAAAACACATTCATAATGATCTTATTATTGAGACAAATGATATTTTGTAGTCTTCTACTTATTGATAAAATAATTTTAAATCAAGTTAAGTAAAAAAATAAATACAATCCATCCAATTTCAAGAAAAGGGAAAATCTAAAAGTGAGTTAAATAATAAAAATATTAAAGAATTTTATTTTTAATATTTATCTAATTTATTAAATATATTTATGTTTATTTTATGTACACCTTTTTTTTCTACACAATAGAAAACAAGAAAAGAAAAAAAATTCCTATATTCTTTTATCAAACCATTTACAAAATCATCTACTAATTTTTTTTATTTTCTTTCTGAACAAGATTAATAATAATATCTTTGACGTTAAGTTATCTTACTGGATTTTACTAAAACAAATTAAATATTAAAAAGCTAAAATGTAAAAAATGAAGTGAAGAGAAAAGTGGGGGCTCATAAACAGAAGCAGAAAATCAGTGGCAGAAAATTGTGTAAAAAATTAGGTGCATTTATCTAGAAGTGCCTAAGTTAACTTGATACATGCATTTATAGGTTATTCTTCTTAATTTTCCATTAACATGGGTCTGTCAACCCTTTGGTTGCCCTGGTTCATATGCTTGTTTCATTAAACCCGCCCTACAGAAGAGATCCACCATGCAACCATGGTGTCCTATCCTAGACAGACATGATACCGTATCCGTATTCCTCACCAAATCGTTAACGGCCAAGACAACAATTAATGTCTTCCAAGAAACTTCCTTCCTTTCACTGTAAAACATTATAAACATGATGTAGTTTTCCTACGTTCTTAATTCATTATAGAAAACTATTCTACAAGATCTTTAAATTATTGATTTTCACAATTTTACATACATCAATACATGAATCATAGTAAGAATACTAACTTTGATCCATGAGAATCTTTTCTTTGATCTTTTCGTTCTCCTATCTCATTTTTCCAATCTATCTCTTTGTCTTTCTTTCTCTTCTCACGTTTCGCTTTTTTGATGGTTTATCGTGAAAAAACCTTATCACCAGAGACAGAACCCTTATTTCATTTTATTAACCAACGTCCATCAAGTTGGTTACCGTAAGTTAATATTTTTATTTTATCTTTATTTTATTCTAACTTCACATAATAACCAATAGGTCCTCATATTTTATTAAATCACATTTGGGCCCATTATTATATTTCACATGAGTCACATAATGGAATGAATTAATTAAATTAATTCTAACATTCTCCCACTTGACTCATGTGATGTCATACGATTCTGTGATTTAATACTTAAGTCATAATGCGCATTAAAGGACCTTACATAAATTGGTTCTATCATAATTCATAATTAAAGATACAACTATAACAAGAATCATGGCGGTTACATGTCATTTAATCGACAGACTCCCTTCCATGTACCACTATATTATCTCTTTCTCCTTAATATTACTTTATAATGAGAAATTCATAATGAATTCAAACATAATATCATTTTAATAATAATAACATAATTTGTTTTCTTCGTCATAATTTGCATGCATATAAATAAAGAAGAAAACACAAATTTCAGAAACTTATACATTAAAGATCTCAGAGTGTCACATAAGCATTAATAATAACATTAACATTCAACATTCACTAGTGAACGCCCACATTCATTATATGACCAGCAAATAATTTGGGCGATAATCCCTTTGTTAAATGATCAACAATCATAAGATCAATGCTAGTATGTTCTATTGACACTCTTCGTTTCTGAACTTCTTCTTTAACGACAAAGTATTTCAATTCCATATGCTTAGCACCTTTGGAATACTTGTCGTTCTTAGAAAAGAAGACTGCTGCGGAATTGTCACAATAAATTTTTAGCGGCTTGGCAATGCTGTCGACTACTCCAAGTCCTGAAATAAAATTCCGCAACCAATTAGCTTGAATTGTGGCCTCAAAGCATGCCACAAATTAAGCTTCCATGGTGGATGCAACAATGACAGACTGCTTCGCACTTTTCCATGAAATCACTCCTCCGGCTAAAAGATACACATAACCAAATGTAGACTTTCGTGTATCCATATAACTAGCTAAATCTGAATCTGTATATCCAATCACCTCAAGGTGATCAACTTTCCTATAAGTAAGCATGTGATTCTTTGTTCCTTGTAAGTATCTTAAAACTTTCTTTGTAGCCTTCCAATGATCCAGTCC